GACTTACAACGCTAGAAACCGGGTTTCGATACCCGTGGTGGGCAGAGCACAGATAGCCCATGGTGTAGCTTTGTGCTTAGTAACAAACAAAACATAATCAAAATTAAATGTTTATTCCAATATGAAACACCATTGATCACGCCCCCCAGTGGCACAGCGATATGTCTACGGACTTACAACGCTAGAAACCGGTTTTCGATACCCGTGGTGGGCAGAGCACAGATAGCCCATGGTGTAACTTTGTGCTTAATTACAAACAAACAAATACGCCATTCATTACCTCTGGCCCTAAAAGTTGTCTAATAACTACTTCTATGATGATACATATTAACTCACACGAGTTAACCCTAGTTAGGATAACTTAAGAAATACAGTTTTTAATAATGTCAGCTTCACAGATAATAAGTATCTTCTTTCAGCAAACTTAGACTTGTATTTTGGTAGAACAATTTCATACAACTTTTGTTTGAACTTTCGTAATTATAACTACTAGTTTTCATCTACTGTATGTATGATATGTGCCCCCCCCCCCAGTAGCACGGCGGTATGTCTGCGGACTTACAACGTTAGAATCCGGGATTCGATACCCGTGGTGGGCAGAGCAAAGATTGCTGTGTAGATTGTGTAACTTTGTGCTTAATTACAAACAAGTATAATATGTCAGCATAACGTGTTAACAGCCATGGCTTAACAACAAACAAGCAAACTTTATAGCAGAAAAATAAAAACTATAAACAAATAGTTTTAGAAGGAATTCGTTGATACTTGATATACAGGGTGTCCAAAAAATGTGGAACCATAGATGATTTGCAGCTTTCATACTTTCAGATACGTGAGTGATGATGGTGCTGTCAAAGCATGAGAAGGTCAAGTTAATTCCCATGTTCATCCAAACTTGTTTTGGATTACAAGAGCAGCATGTGGAACATGTACTGTAAAATTCACTGAATCACCTACGGTTCCAGCATTTTTTTTGGACACCCTGTACATTTGCTTTTGCGAAATATCTTTTGAATATATTTTGTGGCGGGTTTTTAACACATATTTTATCACAAAATACCCGCTTAGAACTTCAAGAACTCTGAAATCGAATTATTCTTGAAGACCTTGAGAACTAGTCCTTGTTGCCATTCTAAGTTCTAAGTGGCCATCTTTTCCCAAACAACCTTATTAACACTCTAGTGCCTCTCTAGTCCAAATAACTGGTTTGTTTTCAACCAATGCTGTCGGTACGTCAGAAGTATTGTACAATCGAAGTAAAAGCTTTAGAAAAAAAGTTTAAATCCAGAAGTATCATTAATAATAATATTCAGTATTTTTAAGATTTATAAAATATCTCATCGTTTAGATCACCAGAAACATTGTTTGTTTGTTGTTGTTTTTTTTCAATTATACACTAGTATTTAGTCAAAGAATAATTAATTATTTCTAGACAACACGATTAGTATTCTTCTTCGTGTGGAATTAATCTGTCCAAATAATTATTTCTGTTATACTTGATGAAATACTGTTGATGTACTGGGAGAATAAGTCGATTCAAATTCTCGGTTATAAATGGTACGTCACATTCAGGTAGCGTGAAAAAATTCTAGCCTTATAATTAACTTTCTACAGAATGAGTTTCCTGTGTTACTGGTTCTTCTAGTTTGTTATGCACTTTTGTTTCTGGTATTTTCCGTAAATCTTTTTAATCAATTTACACGAAGTTTGGAGATAAGCACAAACTGAGCTGCTAGAATGCACATTCATAACATTTGCGACGAATCAAACTCGACAGTGCCGTTGGAATGAATACAAGTTAAAATTTCGAAACTTTTCACTCTAGCCTTTCTAGCAATAGTTAGATGAATTAATAATTAACATACAATATATATATATATGTGTTTACATTTCTGATGTTTTGTTTTGAGAGATTAGTCACTAGCATAGAGATTATAATGAATTATGATCATGGGTTTTCCAAAATGAGCGGAGAATAAACAACTTAAAAACAGTGGAGTTATTTTGATAAATCATTCGTATACGCATGCTTTAAAGCAGTGATTCTCAAACTTTTTCGACCTCGTATTACTTCAGCTTGGTAAAAGACCCCCCACGAACTCCCTACCGGTCCTACCTCCCGCTTTCACTTGCCAATGCAAAAAAACAAACAAACTTATCAATGACTTGTAATGCTTGGAGACGGCTTGAATGGGTAATGAAGAAAAACTTTAATATAAGTTTAACATAACAGCAAATGTACAACGTTTCGACAAGGTTTTGTCATCATCAGATACCTGATATTAAAGTTTTTCTTCATTATCCATTAAAGCCGTCTACAATTATTATTAGTCTAAAATTATCAATGACTTGCACTTTGGCCCACCTGGAGAATTTTCATGGATCATCAATGGGTAACAGACCACACTTTGAGAACCATTGCCTTAAGGAATGTAAGATTGTAAATTGTGAAAAAACTAACAAGTAGCTTTATAGGTTTAGTTTGTTTGTTTGAAGTTAACCACAAAGTTACACAATGGGCTATCTGTGCTCTGTCCACCACGGGTATCGAAAACCCGGTTTCTAGCGGTGTAAGTCCGCAGACATACCGCTGAGCCACTGGGGGGCAGCTTTATAGGTAGCAGACTGATACATTGTAAGTTCACGTTTTAGTGCAAGAACAAATTAAGACCCGTTTCGTGACGTCGGACACCAATACGTAGCCTTAGTAACCTTCTTCTGTTTCTGTATCAAAAGTGTAACAGCTACAAAACAATTTTATTTGAATTACCTATAATGAAAATACTCACGTCAGTTCTACGTAGGCGAAACATCGAAATCGTATAATTTTCGTCAATTTCTTTTTTCTTCAGCGACACCTGGTATTGACCATAAGAACGATCACAATCCGTCAGCTTGCTTGGAAAGTATGGAGCACATCGAGGCTAGAAGGAAAATATCAGCTTAAAACAGGTAGAAATGAGTATTCATTTTATTTTTTTCTTATTAACCAGCCAATTTTCCTTTTGTTGGTTTGATAAACAATTCCAAATCTATCTGAAAAAGGATAAAGCTGAAACGCACGAGGAGAAATATCTGTAAATAAACTAAAGTGCTATCACTTTTTTTATCAAACTCAAAACATCAGCGAAAGCATTGAAATTAACCCTTTATCTTAACTGTTTGTTTGTTTTCGGTTTCAGCGCAAAACTACACTTTGAACTATCTGCGCTTTACTCACTGCAAGCATCGAATTTCGGCTTTTAGCGTTATAAACCCTCAAGATTATAACTGAGTCATAGGGGGGGGGCTATGCAAAGTAAGACGAAAATAATGGAAATTAGAAAGACACTTAAAGCGAAACCCCAGTGTTGTTTTTTTTTTTTTACTTTTACAATTAAGCCCCCCATTGGCACAGCGGAATGTCTACAGACTTACAACGCTAGAAACCGGGTTTCGATACCCGTCGTGGGCAGAGCTCAGATAGCCCATTGTGTGACTTTGTGCTTTACTGTAAACAAATATACCTTTACAGTAACCAATCTAAAATATAAAACAAACTCAATAATACAGGTCTAGACTCCAAGATTATTTTTTATTAGACTTTGAAGAATTACCTCTACTGGAGCAGAACTTGTGGTCTCCTCGACATAAGTAAAGGAAATAAAATTACCTTTGAAATTTACCTTCGTTCCTTTCTTTAGTTCTTAAAACATCTGCATTAACAACTTATTTTTAGAGCATTTATATAAGCTCATTCTGAATTTGAGGGCTCGAATAATGACGACTTGCTTCGTTGTTTATGAACTACGAACGTGTTCGTTTGTTTCGGGATCAATCTTGGTCATCAATTCTACTTGAGCAAGACAGTTTTCCGTTTCCACAGCGATATAACCTATTAATAAGATCGCAAAAAGATTGATTCCTTTCTGTCAAACGCATAACTGTTATTCCATCAAATACGCCTGTTAAATGCTGCAGTTCAGTTTCAATTAAGTTTGGATTTCGGTTTACTGTCTACTGTAGAATATTCTTTGCTTGCTAATTCCTTCCATTTTATAAGGCATTCTATATGTAAACTGCCTGTCTCGTGAGATTCTAGTTCTTTGAATATACTACCGTGGACAAAAACCTTCACCAGATAGCTAGCTGCATTTTCTTGCTGCCAAACAATGTGCAGGAAAAACATAATGCTGCTTGTAGTTTTAAACATAACACTGTTTGTAGTTTTAAACATAACACTGTTTGTAGTTTTAAACATAACACTGCTTGTAGCTTTAAAAATAATACTGCTTGTAGTTTTAAACATAACACTGCTTGTAGTTTTAAAAATAATACTGCTTGTAGCTTTAAAAATAATACTTCTTGTAGTTTTAAAAATAATACTGTTTGTAGCTTTAAAAATAATACTGCTTGTAGTTTTAAAAATAACACTGCTTGTAGTTTTAAAAATAATACTGCTTGTAGTTTTAAAAATAATACTGCTTGTAGTTTTAAACATAATACTGCTTGTAGCTTTAAAAATAATACTGTTTGTAGTTTTAAAAATAATACTGCTTGTAGCTTTAAAAATAATACTGCTTGTAGTTTTAAACATAACACTGCTTGTAGTTTTAAAAATAATACTGCTTGTAGTTTTAAAAATAATACTGCTTGTAGCTTTAAAAATAATGCTGCTTGTAGTTTTAAACATAACGCTGCTTGTAGCTTTAAACATAACACTGCTTGTAGCTTTAAACATAACACTGCTTGTAGCTTTAAAAATAACACTGCTTGTAGCTTTAAAAATAATACTGCTTGTAGCTTTAAAAATAATACTGCTTGTAGCTTTAAAAATAATACTGCTTGTAGTTTTAAACATAACACTGCTTGTAGTTTTAAAAATAATACTGCTTGTAGCTTTAAAAATAATACTGCTTGTAGTTTTAAACATAACACTGTTTGTAGTTTTGAAAATAATACTGCTTGTAGCTTTAAAAATAACACTGCTTGTAGTTTTAAACATAACACTGCTTGTAGCTTTAAAAATAATACTGCTTGTAGCTTTAAAAATAATACTGCTTGTAGCTTTAAAAATAATACTGCTTGTAGTTTTAAACATAACACTGCTTGTAGTTTTAAAAATGATACTGCTTGTAGCTTTAAAAATAATGCTGCTTGTAGTTTTAAGCATAACACTGCTTGTAGGTTTAAAAATAATACTGCTTGTAGCTTTAAAAATAATACTGCTTGTAGCTTTAAAAATAATACTGCTTGTAGTTTTAAACATAACACTGCTTGTAGTTTTAAAAAAATGCAAGGACCTTGGACTAACACTTCTTCCATACTGCCCCCAGTTGCACAGCGGTATGTCCGCGAACTTAGAACGCTGGAAACTGGGTTTCGATACCCGTGGCGGGCAGTCCACAGACAGCCCACGGTGTAGCTTTGTGCTTAACTTCAAACAACAACAACGTCTTCCATACTTTCTGCCACCTAGTAGCATAGCGATATGTCTGCGGACGTACAACGTTAGGATCCGGGTTTCGATACCTGTGGTGGGCAGAGCACAGATGGCCCATTGGATAGCTTTGTGCTTAATTACAAACAATCAAACAAACCATACTTTCTTTTCATTTTGCGAAAATATTTATCCTCTGAAAAATGTCTTCCATAATGATTTTATCTCGGAGGAAAAATAAGAACTTTATCTTGTACAAGTCCATGTTCTGTTAAAGTAATTGTTGAACCCTCTTATTATTCAATTATTTCCTCAAAATAATGAAGTTCCATTTCTACTAAACCGATGTCCTTTGCTCTGTATTTGTTATCACTTTATTTTAATTAATTGTTAACTTATCCTTCTGTTGACACTAGTAATTAAAAAACTTTCGAGTATTTGATAGTTCTTAAGTTTCCTCTGTTTGTTGTCTATCTTTACTTTCGTACGCCCCAGACATATTTTCTCAGCTTTTCGCTTATTTTGATAATAGTTTTCAAATTAAAGCATAATTAATTAATTTTGATTAGTGATCAATTTAATACATATTTTTTTATTCTACTTCGCAAAATTACATCTCGGTTTCAGATCTTCTCATGATTAATTATGTTTTTTTAATTACTTGCATTTATCACTTTCCGAATCATTTGACCCCCAGTGACTCAGTGGTAATCCTGAAGAGCTATAGCGCTAAAAATCGGGATTAGATACCCGTGATGGGCATAGCACAGATGGCCCATTGTGTAGCTTTGTGTTTAACAACAAACAAACAAAACCTGAATTACTTACCAGCTGTTCCACTCACGTTTTATTCGGACTTACAACGCTAGAATTCGGGTTTCGATACCCGTGGTGGGCACAGCACAGATAGCAAAGTTATTCGTCGTAGCAGTGGAAGGTCTAACGGTTGATTACAGTGACACTAACGGTGTTGAAAGAGTTAAAAAGAAGAATTTATTTCGCCAATGAGAGTTCTAAAGTAATTGAAATAGCCTCAGTGGACTTTGACAAAGAGACAGACAATTCTCGGAGAAAAAAAAAGAGAGAAAAAGAAGCAGACGATTTTAGAAGTATAGAATACAACCGTGGTAACTCGACGACGCCCCCCAGTGGCACAGCGGTATGTCTGCGGACTTACAACGCTAGAAACCGGGTTTCGATACCCGTGGTGGGCAGAGCACAGATAGCCCTTGTGTAGCTTTGTGCATAATTTAAAACAAACAAAACTCGACAACAAAGTAAGTGAACTATACTCGGGTAGTTTGGCGATAGTAATAAAGAAAAATAGTTCGGCTTGTCAACTGAAATTCTAAAGCAATTGAATAGGCCTAAATGAACTTTTGACAAGAAGAAGAGAACTATATATGTAGTGTTTATGATATGCCTATCATCTCTATAGTGTAAAGAATTTGTTGTACATACGTTTAACTAGTTCAGAATATATATATATATTATTTTGAAAACAAGTCGAGTGAGGGCTATTCGTTTATTTTTCAATTTATCGCCAACAAGTCACAGACACCTACTGTAGAAGAATCCTTAGCCCAACATCCATATTATTTAACCTACTTACTACACACTAATACTGCTATATATAATATGAAAGGAGAATAAGCCTATTATTTTGACAATAATTTTGGCGTAATGGCCGAGCACATTGTAATAATATATATGCTTGCAGAGTGCATATATTTCAGGCTAGTTGTTTTAACAGTTCAGTTAACTTTAATAAAGGGTGAATATATTACTGGCTAGTTGTTTTAACAGTTTAGTTAACTTAAATAAAGGGTGAATATATTACCGGCTAGTTGTTTTAACGCGTAGAGAATAAACCTGTGAATCCTCATTAATCTTTAAAGTCACTAAACGTATCATGATATCATTTCTGGAATTCTGAACCCTTCCTTGTCACAGCCTCTAAACTCTACTAATGTGTACCACTTTATATATCTTAAGCGATGTACTAGCCATTTCGCAGATTGTCACTATCACGACCTCTAAGTAAATCGACAGTACTGTATGTAAATTTAGTTTCGAGAAACATGATAGAGAGGGGGAAGAGGCTAGAAGCTAAAGATGTGCATAAATAGGGGAAGCATGATCTAGATATTTCTGGCGCGGTAGCGAACTGCCCATTTAAATGGGAAATAGAGACTAAAACAATGATTAGTAGAGTTTAAAACTGCGATTGTGTAGGATTATTTGTTTGTTTGTAGTTGGGCACAAAACTACATAATGGGCTATCTGTGCTCTGGCCACCACGGGTATCTAAACCCGGTTTCTAGCGTTGTAACTCCGCAGACTGTGCCACCGGGGAGCAGGTAGGATTAAAGCAACTATTTCTAGTTTCAACATACGCCCCTAATTCTTGATTTTTTTTGGGGGGGGGGTGGAATGGAATATTCAAAGCTTTGTGCATTTATTTATTTATTTCCATGACTACATAAGGAAATAAATAGACAGAACAAACACTATGTAAGACATACCATCCGGTTCTCTGAAATCTGTGTTAGCATTATGATAACCTGACATTTCTGTTCCCACACCATCTGCCAAAAACTTGAAATTGTTTCCAGAAGAGGGCCTTGTGTAGCAATATAAGCATTGGACTTTCCATCATAACCCTAAAGAAAAATAGAAACATTAAGATATATTTCATAAATATGTATTTATAAATATAATAGGTTATCTTTCTATCTCGTCTTTTGTTGGAATGGATTGCAAGTAAGGGGACGTTATGTTATCGAATGTTTAATAGATATAAGAACACTTTAGGTATCTATTCTAACATTATTGTTAATAAAATCGATTATTTCTGATTCACGTGTTGTTTATATTGGTGTGGTCCATTGTACTGAAAAAAAAAGTGAAATTTTGACCAAGAATCGTTATACAGTGGTGTACGAAAGATGACATCTGACACGGAGTCCACACAGAAAGAATGTATTACTATATATAGATATATACCTACCCTCACATAGTTAGCATTGATGTAGTCTGAGTGTGGTTCTCCTGGACGTGGAGTCAGAAAGACCCGAGTTTCTGGAACTAAACCGAGTTAAAAAGAAATGCAAGTTACAACCTATTCAATGTTTCTACAAATTTGGCACCTCGCCTGCTGTGCCACAGATTCTGACCACTAAATCAGTATCACACATATTTTATTCACAAATTCTCTACCATCATTTTGTCCTCATAGATGCTATCCAGCTATTTTATATTCCACACCAAATATCGATCCAGCACCTAACATCGCGTCCAGCTATTTTAAATTCCACAACAAATATTGATCCAGCACCTAACATCGCATCCAGCTATTTTAGATTCCACACCAAATAGTGATCCAGCACCTAACATCGCGTTCAGCTATTTTATATTCTACACCAAATATTGATCCAGCACCTAACATTGCGTCCAGCTATTTTATATTCTACACCAAATATCGATCCAGCACCTAACATCGCGTCCAGCTATTTTAAATTCCACAACAAATATTGATCCAGCACCTAACATCGCATCCAGCTATTTTAGATTCCACACCAAATAGTGATCCAGCACCTAACATCGCATCCAGCTATTTTATATTCCA